CCCAAGCTCCTCCCCAGTTCTGAATCCTCCCCTCAGACCTACCCTATTTAAGTCCCTGCGTTCCCTCAATAAAGTGGCATTGCTTCCAGACCCTTCACCTGTGCCTGAACCCTTATTGCAGTGCCGCGTCCCATTCCCTTTCCCCTCGGACCGTGGCATCTTACCTCGGGCATTGACAACCATCTCCCAACTGCTTTTCCCACAGCAACCATTAACTAAACATCCCACAGAACCTGTTTCTGCAAGCTTTTCTTTTGCTTTATACAGAAGACCCCAGAAACCAGTCAATGCTTAAAAATGTTTGTATTAACATCTGGCACATTTCACGGAATACACATTTCTGTATGGCATGAATAACTGCAGCATCATCCACCTTTCCCTGTGTTTCTGGTATGTTATTTCCTCAGCAGTAAGTGTTGCAAGTTTGGTGCCAACTTAACAGAAACAAATCAGTCTGGAAGTATTATTGATACTTATGCAATTTCTCTCAATTACATAACACATGTGAGCTAATTGGATTTAAAAAGGGAAGGCAAGGACATGATAGCCGGGCTGGCAGTCTCAAAGGGTTAAGCCTAAGCTAAAAAAATGCTCTTGAGGCAAAGCAGAGACCAAGGGAGTGAAGGCAAGCACAGAAATTCCTGATGGATGCCATCCTCAGAGAAGCAGTGAAGTTGAAGAGCCTGTTTCTCTGCTTCACATGCAGTTTGGTCAGCCAACAGAATTTGCCAGCAATTTCCCTGCAATCACTTGTAAACTCTAGGGCATTTGGTGAAAGTTTGATTTATGTTAATTTTAATTAAAGAACAGAACTTTATTTGCAGGAATTTTCAAGCCTTGTCATCTTTGACAGTTTCCAAGTGAAGCACAAAGAACAGAACAAAGACATTATTTTCTCCAAAGCCTTTGATCAAAATAACTCACCTGCAAACAATACCAGGCCCTCAAATTGTTCTTAGAGGTGTTTTAAGAGGTATAATGGTAGAGCAACATGGAAAAAGACCTGCATTGCTCCAGTTACTCTCCACTTCCTTCACAGATCTACATGGTATGCCTTTCAAGTTTTAATTCATTTGAGAGCCTTTGCAGTGTGCCAAGTATTCAATCATCTTTGACTTTTGCTTGCATAGTTTCTAGCAGTAGCCCATACCTTTTCCCAGGCTATGTGTATTTTGCACACAAGGTGAGCAGCATTGCCTTGCTTTTGTTTGAGGCTTGCAAGCCAGACAGAAGATCTACATTTGCCTCACAAATAGTTTCTTTACTGCTGCCTGTTGTCATTCACAAGCACCTGAACAGCAGAGGCATCTTGTTCAGCTTAAGTTAACCAGCCTCATAAACAACCACAAACACTTGAACATTGTGACACCACTGGAAAAATTAGGAAGTGCCTAGGCACATCTAAACCACAGTTTAGCAGACAAAACTTTGTTTACTGCTCAGCACTGGGAACCTCTGTCCACCAGCTGGGCCCATGACCCAAGCCACGTGCTGCAGCCAGGGAGAGGTGTCCTAGGGAGCTGCCCTTCTTACACACTCCTGCTGACAGGCACTTCAGCCCCAGCATTTACATCACCACAGAGAAGGAAGGAGAAATATGTCAGCCAGCTCCAAGCCCTCACTGGACACCACAAATTTTCTAAATTTCACAGATATTCATCTTTCCATGATGACCCTTCTCACATCTGTCCCGTTTACACTGTTTTGCTTTAAATTTGTTCTCCTTTTACATTACAGCCAGTTACATTATTATTCTCAGTGGTAAAGCCCTCTTTCCTACACGCTGATTAGAATTCACAAGAATTATGAGTGGTTGTAGAGATCAGCTCCCAACAGAGAGGTTTAAATAAAATCTAAACATTTACAAGGCAGACCACCATCGAGATTATTATATTTGTCATCTCACCATTATTTCAGAGAAAGTGTCATTTACTAGACAGAAAACAACCAAAGGCTTGTGAATTAGTAAGGGTGCTACTGAAAAACAGTCTAAAAACTCCTTAACCCCAATGCAGTGTTAAGAAACAGGCATTTTTTATTTGGTATCGGATGCACAAGGGGATATTTCCTCTGAAATATTGGGCATCCCAAATACAGAAAAGGCTCAGAAAAGGCTCATGTTTATATCTTATAGTTTACATATGTATTCATTGATTTTCCCAGAAGAAATACATATATAATAATTTTCACTGAAGTTATTAACATATTTCCCCTCCCACTGACACACATATTTTCTTGTCCTGAGTGTCCCTCCAGTGGTCTTTGGTGGTTGTTGACCCCAGAGTTATCCCTACCACTCGATGAACTCAATGTTACCTCCCAAATATGAAGAAGAGTTGGCATAACTGGCACAGTCCATAATTTGTGAGTCCCTTGATCAATGAAGTGTAGCTTCTTGTTCCCCTTCTTGGTTGGGGTTTAACATCGTTTTAATTGTGCAGTTCCATAGGCTAGTGAGTTTGCAAAATAAGCATTCTACTAACACCAGCTGAGTAAATAGTTCTTCATCTGGCAACAGGGGCTCATGAAAATGAGGTAAATTACATATTACATAAGCAATGGAGCACTTACAGCTATTTTTTGTGAATGAAAATAAGTGTTTAGGGGAGGTAAAGCATTTTAAGCGAGGGCTACAGCATGAATGGTGAAACACCTGCGGAATAAGAGAAGATAAGAACAGCTGGAAAATGTCTGTTAAAGATGCAAAATACAGTATGTGTGTAGGACCATTGGGGTGAGCATAAAGCTTCAGGAAGGAGTTCAAGTGCAGCATATCTCCCAGGTATCACTGGGAAAATGAGTGAAAAGGAAAGGAGAGAAAAGCCACTCCACTAGCCTCAGCTCCTCTGTAACATTTCACCACAGTGACACCACGTGCTGCCTCAGGATGGCCGATCAGCTTCTGCCCCAGCAAAGCCTTCCCTCACAAGCCCTGCCCACAATCCATCTCAGTGCCACGTTTCTCTGTGCTGCTGGTCTCATCCAGTAGCTTCAGCTCTTTGGCTCTCTGAACTATTCTTGTCCTAATTTCATACCTGAACTCTTATCGCTAAACAATCCAGTGTTAAGCAACTCATTAGTGCTTAACTGTCTGCTGCATACTGGTCAATGACATTGGCATAAATTCTTCTATGTAAAACTGCTTTAATTAAGTGAACTTAGTCTAAACAGATCTTAAAGGTACATTGATTAAAATTCACACTACTTAAAAACCTGAACTTTCTAGCTGCAGGCTTCTATGCAAGGTCCTGCTGTAGAAACTTGAGTCCCAGTGGCTATATCCTGGGATTGCAAGTCAAATGTTATTTACTCAGTCTGATTGCAAATTCTTTCAGCATAATGAGTAGGTTTCTTCAGCCAAATCTTCTAGCCAGCCCTATGCAGCAGCCTGTTAAACTGCAAACCCTTCCTTAAAGCCTCAGACCTCTGATAAAGCATCTCAGGTACTTGCTAGTTAAACTGCTCTTACTTATCCTTCCCAAATCTGAGCTTCTGCCTCCAGGTATTCAAAGCTGCCTCCAATCTAGATCTTGCCACTCCTATGCAGAGCCCCCCCTTTAGCTAACACATCTTGCTTCACCGTCTTCCATCTTACCATTTATGAACACCTATCAACCTCTTAAAGGCTTATGGCATTTACAATTTGCAATTGAGCACATTTTTTGTGATGCAGATAGCAGATAAGTATGCTATTGGAGAGCAGTCAAACTCCTCAGTAACACAGTGATTAGCCATTCAAATCAACTTCTACACTACTCAAAGAGAAATGCACACAACACAGCCTGCCTTCAACACTTATCTTCCACCTCAAATTCCATATCATCACACCTTCCTTCTCCATACTTCCTCCTTGTATGAAATAAGAGGTTCTCATATACTCACCAACATAGTTCTGCTTACTTTTTCTCTTTAGGCTAGACCATTATTGGAGCTGTTGGAGATAAAAACCAGGAAACACTGGTTTTACTTCACCCACTATTGAATTCACTGTACTCCAGCAGTGCTTGTGGTCTCCTACAAAAATATCACCTCAGCTCAGCTCCAGCTCTGAAATGAGGGCTGTACAAACTATCTTCCCATTATCTGCAGTAAGCAGGACACAAGGTCTGCTTTCTTACTGCTGTGCATCAAGTCCAGTTTCAAGTGACAGAGTCCACTGATCAGACACAAGCTGCACTGGCTAAGAACAGTAGATACTGTGTCCTAAGAGAAATACTACTTGTTAGCATGGAAAGAACATTTTACAATTCATACAGGCTAATGAATCAGAAAGGAGGAACAGTCAGTGACTGCCAGGCAAGGAAACCTTCTGGCATCAAAGTACATCCTATATATCCTTTAACTACCGGGAACTGGAGACCCCTGGTGGCCTAGTGGTTAGCGTGCAGGACTTTCACTGCTGCGACCACGGGTTCAAATCCCGGTCTCCTGGCCTGATGGAGGTCGTTAGCCCTGTGTGGCCATCCATCTATGAGAAGGACACTCTAAACAAACCTACGTCCTGAGGACCTCACTGCCATTGTCCAAGCTTGCTTGGCCCCGGCAGATGAACCTTAGGATTAAAGGATGGGCTCAGTTCAGCGCAGGCTGTGTCTCACCTAAAAAATCCATTGTGCAGGCTGGAAAGGTAAAAGACCTTTCCCCAAATCTTCGTTCACGAAGATGGGCCATTATTATTATTATTATCGGGAACTGGGAGTCAGTATGAGCCAGCCTAGCAGAGCTCACCCAGCAGTAGATGTTCAAGAATTAATTGCTTGATTAGTTATGGTACATGTTGTTGCCTTATTCCAAGATTATGGAAGTGTCTAAGAGGTGAGATGATTTATGAAATACACTGTCTGACTGTTGTAAGCTATTAATACCAAAAATAAATGTATACATTCATGGTAAGACATTACAGAAGGGGAGAGTGCTTTTATTTTAAAAGTTATTTCACTTCTACACATTTTTTCATACTTCACGCACCAAAGATGTATGTATCAGAGTGGACTCAAAACAGCTACTGAGACACCTCTGCATCGCTTGGGCTCCTCTTAATTGTCCTTGGGCTCCTCCTCTTGATTGATTATGACAGGAGCTTTAGTTACTTTTTTGGACAGATCCTGCAGAAACCAGCAGTAATTCTAGAAAAAGCAATGGATTGCCTTGGAATGTTGCTCCCTCCAGCATCCTTACACCTTCAGTAAAGTTGCTGCCTATCATCTTTGTTCTCTTATTTTGTCAGGTTTGTCATCATTCTTGCTTTCTGAAATCACTTCCTAACTGAGTGATATCCTTCTCAAAGCCCAGGTCAGTACTGTGGATTCAGTGGATGTAGTGTAGTCAGGACCAACGAATGTAGCTTTGCCTGGACCGGAGAATACAGAGCTAAGAAGATATGAGAAGTGATAATGGATCAAATTAGGACACCTGATACTAAGAGAGCAATTATAGCTTCATAAGAAGTAATTAGGCAGGTAATTAGGGATTTATTTGTATTTTATATTGCAAAAACAAAACCAAGCTGACTTCTCCAACTAGTTTTTCAAGCACTGTCTTACCATAGTGTTTCTAAGGATGGTGAGGACTGCTGTCCTTGATTCATCAGGCCAACACAGGCGCAGCCATGGGAGTTGCATTAACATGAACTGTGATGAACTGTCTGTGGAAGCATCATAAATATTATTTTCAAAATGAAATTGTGCAGTGAGACCACTCTCCTTGACCTCAAAGAACATAATTGAACATGTTACAGTGGCTGCATCACTCCGAAGAACTCAGGGTGGTTTTCTATGGGGTAGTCCAAGAAAACCAGAACTTCCATGGGAAATTAGAAATTGCTAAAATACACTATGTAAGAAAAGTACTGTAATATACAGATAATTAACAGTCACAAGATTTGTAGTATTAAAAAAATGGAAGCCATTCTGAAGGTTTCAAGCTGAGTATGATAGATGAATAAGATGCAATCTGTGGAATAATAAAAGTCTGCCAGCTGTAAATAATCAGTTGAAAATCACTGGGGTGTCTAAATGCATCTTCTTTGCTAAGAGGCTATTTAGCCAAATGTGCTTATCTGTGTATCTTATTCCAAGATAGGAAAAGATTTTATCCCTTACAACACAGTAACCCAGGCATCCTGTATATGTGATGCATTACCTATGTCTGAAAAGTGCAGCCTCCCACACAGAGATGCCTGTGTGGGTCCCTCATTACTGCTGTCATTCTGAGGCTCTGCAGCTGCCTGGGGTGGCTACAGCTCTCAAGACCCCTCACTTGCTTATCACTCAGAAGAGATAACTAAGATTGAAACTGTTTTTAAGTATCCAGGTCAACACTGCAATCTTGCTATCTTTCTTACCTTCACAGTCCTACTCTACTGGTTCAATCCCCTGGCGAAATACCTACAGCAGTAGCTTTCACAGCACAATTTACTCAGAGTCAGGAAAAACAAAGGGAATTTTCAATAGTTCACTAAGGTACAAAAGACTCTGCTTGAGTTGTTTTCATAGAGGAAATGTTTTAGAAACATACTCTCTCATCTTCAACACAAGCATGTGTGTTCAAAGTCATGGAAAATGATGTCCTCATCTTGTACTTGGAGAACCAGGCCATAATGCTGTGTCACTAAGTAAAAAAAATAAAAAGCTTTCAAACAAGACAGAGTGCAAACTATAAAATTATCTTACTGATATTTAAACTCACATGTCAACTTTTTTTTTTTTTATAACTCAGTGTCTTCCTGGCTCCTTAAGCAGCAAAGAGAGTTTTGAATTGCAAATGAAGTAAGATTTATGATTACTCACTTCACTATAGGTCCATCTGGTGTCAGAACCTGAAGAAAATCAAATACATTTAAGTAAACCTGATGCATCAGTGTTGTTGCAGAGCTGATTAAAACTGAGCATTAGAAGTAGAATGGCTAAGGCTTGAGGAAGCTGTAGGCCTAAAGTAGTAGTTAGAGTCAGCAACATAGATTTAAGAATGGAATGTGCTGAAGGAGTGGAAACAGTAATCAAAGGAATTAGCCAAGCATGTATATAACGATTTGTTGCCTTAGATAGATGTGTTTGTGGTTAGGGTCTGTTAAACTGTTTCTAGGAGCAAGACAGCTGAAGCAGATTTACGATCAATTGTTATCAGCATAAAATATGAGCTTGTTTGTAACAGAATGTAACTGCTTTGTGGAATTTGCACGTAGAGTTGTTTGTGTGAAAGGATAAAAGCTGTACGCGAAGTGAGGGTCTTTGGAATCCTGACTTGGGACACTAGTCCTCAGGTTCCCGGGCCCTGAATAAAGCACCGCATAAACCGGCACTCTGTTGGTTTGTGTCTTTGATTACGGGCAACAGTGTGACAGTTAACACTGCCATAAGTAGACAGAAATAACTATAACGCAAAAGCATTGTGCATATATGTACATAATCTCTAAAAAAATTCAACAAACCTTGGGCAAGAATGTGTGCACAACCCTTTCACTGACCCTAAAACAAAAATGTTTGTTACACATAAGTAGCATGGGCAAAGACTGTCAAAATGCCACATCTGGAAAACAATCTGCGTTATTAGAAAATCTTGATGGATGTCTAAGAAAGAAAGGCACTCCCTGTGGGAAAATCAGCCAACCAGTGTGTAAGAGTCACATAACTTTTGGACAAGAATAATTGTATAACAACTCTTGGAACAGCACAATCTTTATATTCCAAAATGAACTACTTATGTGGGTGCCATTGTTTCAGAACTAGGTATGCAGAATCACTGTGACATTCTTTAATGCTTTGTTTGCAAGTGTTATCTTGCTATCATTAAAGAAAACAAACCACAAATGTTTGTGTAGGATCTAGTAACCAGCTCTTGAGGCTAGTCCGGAGCAGTGGGTCACCATTCCCTGGGCAACTATCCCCAGTTTTATTGTTCAGCATGACACTATAGACTATCCCTTGAGTCAGTTGGGATCAGCTGTCCTGGTTGTGTCCCCTCCCAACTTCTTGTGCACCCCCCAGTCCACTCACTGGTGGGGTGATTTGAGAAGCAGAAAAGGCCTTGAGTCAATGTAAGCCCTGCTGGGCAGCAACAAAAATATCAATGTGTTACCAACATTATTCTCATCCTAACCCCAAAACACGGCACTGTACCAGTTGTTAAGAAGAAAATTAACTCTATCCCAGCCAAACCCAGGACATACCCTCTGCCTGTACTCAGTGTCAGACAGCCCCCCAAGGATGTTTAGTTTTGTACCCAGGTGTCAGCACAGGTTGCCAGTTGGATCAGATCATGATGATATTGCAGTATACCTTTCCAACCATTTCAACTCTTTAAAATTACTGTTCCAACATGCATTCTGGTACCTTGTTCCTTACTAACTTAATTGTCAGTCATGTTAATACTGAGCAATAACAAAATTTAACACCATCGCTAATAACATCTAATAGTCATAAAAACCTTCCTTCTTAAGCACAGCTAGAAGAGGCAGCAAATAGCGCAGCAGTTTCTGGGGTCTTGCTTCTAGGTCTGCTGGGGCCTTCTTCTGGGATGTAACAGTTGATTAAAGTTAAGGTGAATAATTTGTTCATCAAATAGAGTTTGATTTAATAAAGTTTACAATAAGTGTTATAATGACTAATAAAGATAAGAATAATTGATTTACTAACCAAATTAGGCTCTGTTATAATGAAGATAAAACTAACACTTTTATTAAAAGTTGCTGAGTACTAAAAAGAGGGATGAAATAAATAATTTGCTTATCAAATAAAGTTTGCAATAAGTACTATAATAATTGACAGAGATAAGAGTAGATGATTTGCTAAGTTCAAGCTGGCATTTTATCAGAGCTTTGTTTAAGCTGACATTTTATTAGAGTTACTAAGTGTTAAACTGCAGAAATGTTAAACCGCAAACTTATATCCTGTTAGGCTGGCTATAGGTAATGTCAAACCTTAAGAGCTATGTTGCTATAGTGATAAGTTGAATAAGATAGCCTGTTATTTTAAGGTGTCTGTTTTAAGCATACCTATATGTCGCGACGGAAAGCTCTAGACACTTAATGTAAGGATCCAGGAACTTCGTTTATTGTAGATTGACAGCAGCTTAATATACACTCTATAATAGGTTCATCCATATTACAGGGATTAAGCTCATTATTGGTACGTGTCAAGTGGTGATATCATCTTAACTCCCTTGCTTAGTTTACACAGGTGGCTTATCAGTTGCCTTTGTTTTGGTAATGCCAACCTCCTGTTTATCACCCAGCTTTAGCACATCAAAGACACTGTTGCTTTCTTATGGCCTTGCCGTCTCAGAGGTTCACACGAGCTAAGGCAAGAGGTTCACACGAGCTAATTCCTTACACCTATAAGGAAAAGAAGTGAGAAGACAAGACGAAAAGGTCAACCATAAGAACTATGGAGGGGAACTACTGTCTCCGTTAGAGAAATTCCAACATGGTTGACCTTAAAGACTATAATCTAACGGAATTAGTGGTTAACCTCCCTCAGCAACAGGACAAAGCCCGCAAAATGGAAACCAATGTCGAGAAGGCCCGTGAAATGGAAACCAATGTGGGTAGAGCCCGCAAAGCAGGAACCAAGCAGGACAGAGCCCGCGAAGCAGAAACCAATGACAAGATGACATGAGACTGAGGGGGAGGTGATTGTAAAGGGTATAAAAGATGGGGTTTTGGCTATTTTCTTGCGGACCGTTGGTGAAGCAGGAGGCTTTCTGGTCGCCCAGCACGCTGATTTGCTTATTTGCCTTTAATAAATTCTTTGATATTTTAAATTAAAAATTCTCTGGGCCATTTGACTATAACATTGCTAATAAAATCTAATAGTCACAAAAACCTTCTTAAGCACAGCTAGAAGAGGCAGCAAATAGCACAGCAGTTTCTGGGGTCTTGCTTCTAGATCTGTTGGGGCCTTCTTCTGGGATCACTGTCAAAGGATCTCTGGTAACCCTTTTGGGAAGCCTTTGAGGAGCTTGAGGTTGCCTTCTGCTGTTGGGAACAGAGAGCTGCAGGAGGCCTTGACTACCAGCAAGGTCTAGCAGGGCTAACAACCCCTGCCAGCTGTCTTTGATTAAAGGGCCCTTGGAGGTTTAGCTCCAGCTGACACTGATTGGGGAAGGTCTGACGCCCTTTCAGGCTGAGGTCTATACAAGAGCTGAGGTCTATACAAAAGCTGGGCCTAAAGCACAAAGGCTTTGGGGGGCACTTGGTGTGGGAAGGGCTAGTATCTTATCTTGTAACAGCACACACTTCCTCAGCAGTGGTCAGGGTGTTTTGTAAGCTGCTGTCCTCAGCAGATCTTGGAAAAACTTCCCCCTGTGATGGTGGAGGTCTCAACCTAAGACAGACCTTCAGAAGAAGGGTGCTGGTCTCCCTTCCTTTAGCCTGAGGGGAGAAGCAAACCTTTTGAGATGTTTTATTAAGCAAAGGAGCTACAGGATGAAGTTAGTGTGCTATGGATCATCAGAGGTTGTGAAAGAGACTGGATCTTCTCTGAGATCCTCCGGCTTTGAGAAACCATGGAGGTATGTACTGAGGGAGGGGCAGGCAGGGTGGGAAGTAAAAACTCTCAGGATGGTGAAAGGCTGTGATTCCTGCTGGTAGGAGGAATGATTATGCACTGCCTGATGTTTTGTAACTACAAAATATTTTCAGCGCTGTGGTTGTAGAAAAGAGTGTCAAGTGAACCATCTGAGCTGGCTGAGCCTGAGCCTTGCAGGAGTGTAGCTGTATAGAATAACAAATGTAGCTTAAAACTATGCAGCTTGACCTATATAGCTTGTCATTAAAGGCCAGTACTCTCAGCAGAAAGGAATTTTTTAAATGACAAAAGGTCTCCATATTTTGAAGTGGAACTGATAAAAGGAACATAGAGCTATCAGGCCAAGTCAAAACTGGTCTTGTGCTCTGACACAGTCTGAAGGGCATGAAGATGTGCCAAAGTTCAAGAAAAGGACAACTTGAAAAAGATGAGGCACAACTACCCAAAGGGACCATGAACAACCACTCGAAGGGACCACTGACTCAAAATGGGATTTGTGTCAGGGGGAGGGACAGGATTAGGTAATGTTTGAATTGTTAATTAGGTAACTAAATAAAGGCAGGAGACTTTTGTAACTCAGGTATGCACAATTTAGAGACAATATTCTCTTGTGCATCCAGCACACTGAAATAAAATGCAAGAATGTTTTGCTCCCTAAAACTCAAAAAAGGGTCTTAGAGAGTTTTTTATACCCGTTTTTCAGGCAACAGGAGCACTGGGAGGAGGCATTAAGGGTTGCTTCCTTGATACTGACAGCTCTGCTGTAGGGAACAGGCCTGTCTGCTGACCTGTTGTCAGGGGGACTTTGCTGCTTTTGAGGCTCTGTGATTTATGATAGCATGAAAAGCCTGCAGAGGCATATTTGGCTATCTGATTATTGATCCCTGCTGCTTTTTCATGTAATCATCAAACGCTCTTAAATTACTGGAGAGACCTGGATAGCATCAAGTATGATACAGCTCTGGAGTGATGGCACTCCAGAGTGCATAAGGGCCCATCTGGTGTGTCCTCAGCCCTGCTAGTCAACTGTGGAGGTCAATAAAGCTAAGACGATCCCATCTTGTGGGCAAGAGTCTGGAATAGTTTATTGGACTTACAAGTTCATATTTAAAGGGTTTAGGGTCTACGTATTCAACAGGGGGTTGTAACTATTACAATTATTACAGTTAGGGGGTTTCAGGGGATGACCTAAGGGGAAAACCTAAGTTAACAAATCTGGGGTCTTAACACATACATCATAGGGGAAAACCAAGTTTATCTTAGGGGAATTACATGGGGAGAAGACATTCACATCTCTTGAGACAGGATTATGCAGGGAGGAGCAGATACAATAGGACGTGTGATAACATTATGTAAAAAGTCTCTTTACATCCTGCTGGAGAAGGCAGGAAAATTCCACAGAGATGTGGTCAATGAAAAGGTTTTTTTCCCAGCTTCTGTAGCCCACAGCTTCTGTTTAAACCCAGCAATTTCCTTTTCTGATATCCAAATTTTGGAATCCAACAGTCAACTTGTGGGGTTTTATTTTCTATGACCATGGCATGCTCTTTGATGAGTGGATGTCACTTGGAAGAGCTAGGATACACTGGACTAAGATGGGAGAGCATCTTTGCCAACAGGATGGTCAGTCTGGTAGGAAGAGCTTTAAACTGAGAACGATGGGGAAAGAAAGGATGACAATCAAATGAAGAAGTTGTGGATGAGGTTATCAAGCAAAGGATGAGGGCTTATGCAAACAGAGGGGACTTTATCATCAACTTAGGTGTCACTGAAGTACATGCATAAAAGCACAAGATTCAGAAGGACTTCCTTGCTTTCTAAAGTCCTCAAGGAGGAGTCTAGGTGTGCCTGGATTTACACCAACCCCAGATATGATAAGTGTAATTGATTCTATATACAACTTTCTCCTGCAGGATTAAACATGGCAAATGAAATATGTTAGTATGAATACAGTATGTGTTTTACTTGTAGTGATGAGAATCAAGCCAGTGATTATTAAAAAGGAAAATATCATAAGCACAATTGTCTACTACACAATATAGATGGTTATAACTAATTACAGTGCACTACTTATTAAAACAGTCATTATAAAGTTGTCTTAATAATTATCAAGTAGATTGATGTTACTCACCCATACTGGTGACTGTGGGCAAATATTTTTTGCTCATACTCAGAGTTACCTTGAAAGATGTCCCTACTCAAGGGAGGAATCTCCACACATACTCCTGGAAGTCCTCCGTGCTGGAAGACAGGACCATGCCTTTATAGTACAAAGTCATTTGTTGTCAGTCATGTGTTGCTAGGCTAGCCATTGTCATGTCAACTCAACAGAACATGCTTTATTTTTAAATAAGATGTCACTTGTTTGTTTTTCTCATTCTGTAAACATCTGTCTTTCACATCCTTGTCAGTGCCAGTCTTTGTGAGGAAACATCTGTCTTTCATATCCCTGTGATGGGATTAATTTAGGATTGTTGTTGAGGTTGGTCTCAGCATTCTTCAACACTAAAAGAGTGGTTTTATTGGAAGTGAACTCCATTGAAATAGAGTTCAGTATCTTGAAAAGAGGGAAGAAGATGAAAGCCAGGACTATTGTCATGGCCTTCAAGAGGCCACACTTCAGCCTGCTCAGGGATCTACTTGGGTGAATCCACTTGATGTGATCCTGAAAAGAAGACAGGTTCAGAAGAGCTGGTGTTTTTTTGGGTTTTTTACCCCACAAAGAATCACTTTCTACAAGCTCAAGAATGGTCTATTCTGGTGTGCAGGAGGGCCTGACTGAACTCAAGCATGGAAAGGAAGCATGCAGGAGGTGGACACAAGCACAGGTGACTCGGAATAGGGCCACTGTCCATGTGTGCAAGGATGGGGGTTAGGAAAGCCAAATCCATCTGGAGTTGAATCTGGTAAAGGTATGTGAAAAACAAGCATTGCTTCTACAATAGAAAATGTGGGCTCACTCCTCAGTGAGGCTGGGACATGGTGAAGAAGAATGCTGCAGTGGGCCAACACAGAAGGTATTGTAAAGAAGAGGCTGATTTCAAGTAGATTTTAGGCAGAATTTAACTAGGTTTTGATTGTAGAGTTGCATGTGTGTTAGCATGAGGAACTGCTGAACTTGAGTATACAATGTGTGTTGCCTCTAACAATGCAATCTGTGTGTACTCTTTGTAAGGACTTGTTCCCATGGGAATGTGTAAAAGTGTAATATTTCCAGCAAACCTCAGTGTACCCTCTAGAACATTCAGTATCGCACAATAAGAGACTGATGGATTTGTTTTACATGAATGAATACTGTAAAGATGTGGTGAACAATGAGGCTATTGAATCTCACCACAAAGAATTCTGCAAAGCAGTGGCTCTGCCAGCGAGAACTGTCCAGGTCTGCATCCTTGCATGTTTCCCAGCACTGGAAGAGACATGTAAGACTTCCCACTGTAACTTTTAAGAACACCTTTTTCTCTTAAGCATCTTGTGGGGTTTTTTGGTTTTTTTTTTGAGATATAGCAGAACCAGAACTTCACACTACTAAGCAGACGTAGAAAGGTTGAGGTCCTCAATGCCTTATTTGCCTTGGTCTTCATAGAACTGTTTGGATTGAAAGGAACCTTTAAAGGTCATCTAGTTCAACCTCCCTGCAATAACCAGGGACGTGTTCAACTAGATCAGGTTGCTGTTGAAACCAATCAGGTTTCTATCCAGCTCAGTATGGACTGGATAATTTTATAGGATCAGCAGCACAAAGACAAGATGGAGACCAGTCCCTTGTGGTCAATACTAAGGTTATACCACTTAACATCTTCATTACATGACATGGGGCAAAGTGCATTCTCACAAGTTTGCAGATAATTCAAAACTGGGAATAGTGGTTGATGTACCTCATGTCCCTTTGAACAGAGACATTTGACAGGTTGGGGGAAAATCAGCAGATAGGAACCTAATGACGTTCAGCCAGCTCCTGTCCTGCACCTGGGGAGGAATAACCCCATATACCAGCACAAGCTGAGGCCCTGACTCTTTGTAGAGAGTCCATGTTCAAGCACTTCCTGAGTCACTGTTTATAGCCTGGTTTATCAGTACAGTTTCTCACCGTGTTAAGGCTGATGTGACTGAAGTCCTTTCTGCAGCTGTCTGCAGTCAAACCGGTGTAAGAGCAACACGTGTCTGCTCCCTGGGATAGCCTGATGCCAGTTGGAGATACAGCCTGTGTGTGTGTGCTTCCTTCCCCTTAAGGGTGGCTTGTCACAGGTATGTGAAGTTTGGCAGTTATGAGCTGCTTCAGAAGTAACTCCTGAGCTTAAACAGCTAAAGGGTGTCAGTGGGCTAGTAGTTATTTCCAGCCCAGAAGCTGATGAATAGTACCTTCAGCACTACCAAACTTGCTGATGGGAGAATGTGGTAAACTGAATCTTGTGGAAAAAATAGCAAGAGAAATGGTTGCTCATCAGCCAGGTATGTGTGCTGTTTACATTTGTCACACAAGCACACAGAATTTGTCAGGGCCACACAGGTTGCTGCAGCTTTATCATGCCTCCTGACTCAAGGAAAGGGATCTCCAGGGAGGCCTGCTAGCATTCCGTGCTCAACCCAGCACCACCAGCATGGAGGTTTCTGCATTCCCAGTGCTAAAATGCTGCTCAAGGGAGCTTGGCTTTTCCCTGCATTTTTTTAGGGACAAAGACTTCTCCATGGCAGCCAAGGCCAGCCTGCTCCCGCAGTATTCCCGATGCTCAGGCTGCTTGGGGGCATCTTGTTTGTGCTGTCGAGAAGAAAGCCAAAACAAAGCTCAGTCTAATGGCTTTGTGTGCCTCCTGCTCTTGTTACAAAATTCTCAACTGGCCCATGATGACCGGATAGCATATTTCATTGTGTGCATGAGATGTCCCAGCCAAACTGGGCACATGCAAGCAATTTCTCTTTGGGGAGTTTTATAGCTTACACTTACAAGGGTATGATATGGATCATCCAATTGCCTACTAATGCATATTTCTAATTATCCAATGACAAAGTATATGTTCTTGCAGCAGCATTATCCATTGCATCCTTGTGGTTTATCTGTCAGTCCAGACATTTTGGTTGTTGACTTCAACAAAGTTATCAGGCATCAGCAGCAACTTGTGTTTCTCTTAGATACGGATCCTTCAGTTAATTTTGTGAGAACAGAGGTTTCGTTTTCTTAGTCTGTCACTTGTTCTTTTTAGTAGGGAGTAGGTGAGGGGTCTCGGGTCTGAACATAGCGATGAAGTCCTAATCATGTTGCTGACTTCTGAGAACTGTGTGGTCTCAATTTATGTCACACCATCCAAGCAGGAATGTAAAAAAGGAAGAAAAAAAAAAAAAGAAAAGAGAGCGTGGGATACAAGGGATTACAGGTAGAAAGACGTGGCAGGCAGCAAGCACTCCTGCTGATTACCGCACAGCGCCCGAGGCGATCCCGAGGCGGGAGCAGGACTACATCTCCCGTCATGCCGCATCCCGGCGGGCGCCGCCGCCATCTCGGCACCGGCACCGTTGGGTCGGGGCGGTGTCCCCGCCGCATTCCCCGGTCCCGGCCGCATTCCCGGGTCCTGGCCATGAGCCGCCTCAGCGGCGGCTGGGACGGCGCCGGCGAGGAAGTCCGGCTGCTCCTGGACCTGTGAGTGCCGCCCCGACACCCTCCCGCCGCGCCCGCCTCGGGAGGAGGGCTGGGACTGAGGCACAGGGAGGGGACAGCGTTTGATAGGCCTTTGGCGGCGGTGGTAGAGCGGGTGACGGGGTTTGGCAGAGTTCAGGAGCTGCAGGAGAGGTGACAGGGTTTGTCAGAGGTGACAAGGTTTGGCGGGCTGGCAGGGTAGGTGACAGGGTTTGTCAGAGGTGAGCAGGAGCTACAGGAGAGGTGACAGGGTTTAGCAGAGGTGACAGGGTGGCAGGGTAAGTGACAGGGTTTGGCTTTGATGGTGTGATGGGGTAGGTGACAGGGTTTGTTAGAGGTCAGCAGGAGCTGCAGGAGAGGTGACAGGGTTTAGCAGAGGTGACAGGGTGGCAGGGTAAGTGACAGGGTTTGGCGGTGTGGCGGGGTAGGTGACAGGGTTGGCAGAGGTGAGCAGGAGCTACAGGAGAGGTGACAGGGTTTGGCAGAGTTCAGGAGCTACGGGAGAAGTGACGAGGCTTGACAGATGTGACAGGGTTTGGGGTGGCAGGGAAGGTGACCATTTGGCAGAAGTGACCATTTGGGAGGAGTTACAGGACAAGTGACAGGGTTTGACAGGACTGGCAGGGCTTGTTGGGGGTGATGAGGTTTGACAGGTAGGTACCAATGTGCTCCCGGACAGATCTGGGTGTGGAGAGATGGTTGAGGATCCCTGGCTTTGCCTGGCACCAGTGAATGCTGTTTTGCTTTGAGGTTTTTCTTTATGTCAAATTCCTTCGTGTTTAGGAGGGAGTTAGAGACAGCGTAGGGGTAAAATATTTCATTTGACAGATAAAAGAAAAATAGCTGTCAAAGAGTAGAGTTAGTCTAACATTTTTATTCTTAAAAGCACTGAAGATAAGATTATAGTTGCCCAGGTGTAGGCAATAAATGTTTTATCATTTCCTATAAAGGTAGAATAACAGTGAAAACATAATTTAAATGACTGTTTAAACTGCAGATCAGTAATGTACTCTGCAAATATCAACTGGCTCTTTGAAAAGAATGTGATTTATCTTAATAATCTTTTCATTCAAGCTGAATTTAATGTTCTGTGGCAAGAGACAGTTAAATGTAACAGGAAAACTTGGCATAGCTCACATCGATATCCATGTATCTGCATTGGTTTTGGAGTATTTTCTGCAAATTTGAACTAAGTAGCTGGTCGATTTACAGGCCTCTTTTCAAACATGGCTGCATTAGCCATTTAATGTCTTTAAGAGAAAAAATTAATCTGAAGCTTACATTAAGTTTTTAGATACAACTGTTTTAATGTGCTACAATATATGATGGCAGTCAGCCTCCTTCAGGATGAGTTGCCAGAAAAGTTCATTTAACCAGTGGCCAAAATGTAGGTGTCATATGATAAATATGTATTTAGCACATAAATGAAGTGTGTGCCCTTGTGTGACCAAAGACTACTGCTGCCCATTCACATGACTCAACAGGCATCCATCCTAGAAGAGGGAACAGTCACATGGTGGGTACACATGTAGCCCCCCCAAAAGGCTCAAAGTCTGACTCACCCTAGCCAAAGGCAGGTTGCTGTTTTGCAGCGAGGAGGTGCTGGTTCATTTGGGATGAATGCATGGGTTCTCAAGGCTTGTTGACTGGTTTATTGCATAAGGAATAGTAGCACTGGTAAAGGTGTCAGCAGTCTTATGTCCCTCCTGATGCTGAGGCCCCTGGCTGTCACAGTGTGAGACAACCCCTTCACAGTGATCAGCATGTTGCACAGATCCTGCCTATGGGGAGGTTCACGTTTGTGGTCTTTGGAGCCTTGATAAGATTTTTTTTCTTAGAAGTAAACAACTATTCTTCATTTCTGCAGTCAAGTTAAGGAATGTTGCATGTAGATTAGCTGGCTAATCTCAAAACAGAGAATGTGGGTGGTGTAATCTACATATACTGTGTCAGAGCCTGGTACAGGCTTCTCTGTTGGTCAGGGAGCCAAGTTCATCCAGCAGTCACTGAGGTTCTGTGAAGGCATTGCATTTTTGCACACAGGAATGACTTAAAGATGGCCCTGGTGCGTGCTTAGGTTTAGAATGTTGCTCATGTTGATGTACAGGTCTCTGCAGGCCAGGCCTGGGTTAAACTCTGCCCAGATTCTGCTTGAAATCATGGTCTCCTCCTTGAGTGTCTTCTACAGTGACCTGCTAGAGATGCCCTTAATACACTGTGCTAACTTTAGTGGGATTTTTTATGTGCTTCCACACTGGAAATCTTGCTTCCTTCCAAGTTTAAATCTGTGCTATGCTTCAGATTACAGAGCCCTAATATTTTGACCTCTCTAGAGTTTTTAATTGGTATGAGTTTAATTTGCTGTGATTTGGCGGCATTCTGATGCCAGACAAGGTTTTGTTGCAAAACCAGTTGTCTATAGGGACTCCAGAGCTGTGGTTTTATGCTAAATCAGATTTGGTGTGACTCTAGGTTGCTGCTGCCTCCTGCACTCAGCCAGTTGTCCTGGCAGTGTTGTTTCTGTGTCCTCACAGCTTTAGTCAAGGGGTTTTTTGCATTCAGATCAGATGCTGAACAGCTCACACTGCAACTGCGAGTTTCAGGGACAGCGTGAGAAAGGCACAGTAAAAAGTGGTTGGGCAGTCAAGTGGGGTATGGAAAAATAGCCTTTGCAACCTCTGGACTTTATATTTGGTTAGAGTGGGGTGTAGTGACCACATTAATGATATTTAAGACAATGTATTATGCTACATGCTTAACCTTAGATCTTAAACCTGGTAACTTCTCTTCATCTGCACTGTAGTGCTTGATACCATAAACAGTTTCTGTTTTTGATTGGTTACTGATCTTTTTTACACTACTTTATTAATGCTGCTGCAGTATATTATAATGTAATTATAATATAATTATTAGTCCATAAGACCACTACTCAGAACTAGTAATTACACAAATTCTTAACAAATGCGTGTAATTTAGTGTATTGTTTCTTGTCTTAATGCCAGTCAGGTGATGGCCATCTGTTGATGCCAGACTGCACTTTAAGCTTCTTACTTAAGCTAGCTCTTAGGCTTATTGTTTAACTAGCAGAACTCACAAGAGAAACTAAAACCAAAACCAAATCTATTAATGTGTGGAGTAGTCCTTTTAATAAGGTCATTATTTTTAAGATCTCCAAACAAAGTGTGTTTATTAAGGTGTATCTACTGCTTGTCTGCCGCTTGATGGCCTTTGCCCCCTGCCCCAAAAGAGTAATTAACACTCCAACAAGAGCATCATATTGAAAATACTTAGAAACATTCTTTTTTTTTCAAGCTATATCTTATATTAGCTTCTCTTTCCTGAAGTTATTGCTCCCAAGATGAGAAATCACTAGCTAGGACAGGCATTCCTAGCTGGTGCAGTTTTAGGGCCAGTCTATGTCAAATTTATAGTTGGTTTACGTAATTCTAATTGGCTGAAAACTGACAATGTAGGAGTTGCAGGGCCTGACAAACCCTGGATGCCTGGCAGCAACAACACTTGCTGGAGAGGTGGAGAGGACAGCTGGAGCAGATAAACAGCTTTAACTGTCATACTCTTGGATAGCTGGTGTTACAAATCTCTCAATCCTGGCAGATGTTTTAGGATGCCCAGGCATGAGATCAGAATGAAGGGAATTTCTACCATCAAGCATCAGACTCTTAGACCAACACAAAAAGATCAAATTTAAAGGTGTTTTAACTAGTTACTACATGGTGAAGAAAGCATGCTACACTTGTAAATCATCACAAGAGTGTGTATTTAGGTATTGCTTAGGATTGCTCTGTGTGTCATTGATATTTAGCTCTTGTTTAACAGAGGGTCAGCCTATTGCAGACTAATGTATTAGTGACTAACCTGTCATCAGTGTCTTGGAAAAGGAATATCCTACAAAGGCATCAGAACATTTGGAGATGGGTATAAAAAAACTGAGAACAGAGGTAGAATAACAACTTCAAAACAGAGCTTCCTTTTGTGGTCTTTCTATGAATATAAATTATCTATTCCTAAAGAATGCAGGAAGATGTATCCATTTTGTTATTTGCCATTTAACCAGTTTAGTGTCTGTTCTTCTGGTTCATTTTTTCCAATATGTCCCACTCCTAACAACTGTTCTGCTGTTCTGTGTTATGTGACATAATATAAGCTGCACCTTCATGTAAGCTAGGCTATTTGTAGAATAATTAGTCATAAGGATCTAATTTCTGTTTTATGTGTTTGAAATTGATGCCAAAAACCTCAGAATAGAAGAACTGCTCAGAGACTTTGCATCTTTAAGCAGCAAGGTAATTGGTTTATTGCAACGTTGGGAACAAGGCAGTTCGCACTGCACAAACTCTCTTGACCCAAAAGCGCAAAACAAGCCACTTTATACATTTTAGATACACAGTTACACCTTCTAACATGCATATTACTAGCTAGGCGGAGTCTAGGCCTAGTCTAGGCAGAGCTTTCGAGAATCTTCTTTTGGTTCAAATTTTAGGTGATCTTCTCCTCATGCTTCGGCCTCCTGGTCGTATATGAGAGTCTTCATCAGCTGAACTTTTCAACTTTCTTTGTTAGGTGACCTAGATTCTTCAAGCTTGCAAAATCCTGGCTCTTGGCCTCCTATGTCTACTTTAAACATCTGGTTTACCTGATTTATTACCTGGTGGTCTATTATATACTGCTCCTTATCATTCTTTCTGTAATGAGACTTTGGTCCAGTAAGCAGGACAGAACAAGACATTAACCAGTGTTCCTACAATGTTCTTCTAGCAAAACAGGCAGAACAAACATTAGGCAATACCTTCTCCTGGCTCAGCAGGGCAAGGTGTTTTACCAGCTAAGCCATCGTTAGCTCCTTTTGTGCTTTTCTCTGCCATCAAAATATAAATATTTGTCCTGTCATAAGGCTTTAAGGTTAAAGATCCTATGCCTTTTTCTGTTCTCTACCTCTAGACACATTTGGAACAAATGAATGTGCCATTTAACTTTTGATAGACAACTCTGTGAACTATAAACATGCTGTGTAACAAGTCTGATAATGCAGAGCAAGGAAAATACAGCTGGGGGCTTTGCAAGAAGGAATGGTCTTTTATCAGGCCATTGCAGGAGTAAAGCACCAGCCAGTTTTCTCTGTCCCTGAAAAACAGGAATCATGACTTCTTTCATTAAGTTAGACTAGGTCGAAGTGTGTCTGCCAGCTGATTGCATTACAGGCTTTACTTACCAGTCTTAGTTATTGCTGTGTGTATCCAGATCCCATTAAGTCTAGATGCCAACTACAGTAGAGAGAAATACTGTGCAGTTTCAATCGCTGGTCTGAGTTTACTTGTAGGAGGAGTCAGTGGAAAAATGTTGATTCTACAAAAGCAAAATGTTTTGTAGGATGGTAATGTTTTCTTTCAACACTTTGGATAGGATTTAAAAAGAAAAGTTGACCTAGGGAGTGTAATTCAGGTAGCTATGATCAATGGATCAATCAACCTCCAAATCAAAGCATTTCTGTGGACTCAGGCATCTGAGGGGACAGTGAAGAGTTACTCTTCCTCCCCCATTTCAACTCCCTCCATTTCAGTTTTGCTGTATGGTAATGCTTTTTAAACTTTTGGCATTTCCTAGGCAACAAACATTACCTTTTTGGTTATCTCTGGATGTTGATTAGCTTGGCTCTAGTTTATGTTCCTCGTTTACCCAGGGATTTTGGAGTGGTGATTGCTCTGAAGGTCAGTATGCTCAGGGTGCTTAGAAGCTATTCCTAAACTCTTCCCGGACTTGCCTCTGGTGTTTCAGTAAGCCTGTGATTGTAATTTAAAGTTGCAGAGGTTGGAACATTAATATTTTATGTATTCTATGATACATTAAAGTGCTTTAGGAATCCTAAAAAGATAGGGTTGCATGAATAATGTCCCTCTCTGATACTTAGTATTACAAAACTGAATATTCTTCTGTATATTTGACCCTGAAAAGCATGATTTCAGGTGTTCCAGCTGGGCACTATTCCACATATAACTGGATAATATTGATCTTTATTTTATTTTGCTTAAGTGAAGGTTTTAATGTTTTTTCCCAAAAAGCTCTGTTCCATCTAGAGTCTCGTAACATATTCGGAGTGAAATGATCCCTTTTTCTTGCATTCACACAGATAAAACTGTAGGATTTCAAATCCTGGCTTAAAGCATCGCCCAGCATTCTGTGATTCTAGTAGGCCTATTAATATTTATTTCTGCTTAGTTCTTCCTTTTTTTGATGAATACTTAAGCCTTGTGTGTCTTCGAGATTTGTTTTGTAATTTCTCCTGCATCAGTATCTCATTATGGAAACTTTGTGTAAGTCATGTTTCAGTATCTGGCCAAGGGAACAGATTGCTCGGAACAGGGAAGCAATTGTGACCCTAATACAAAAGCTGCCCAGAGGGCAGGGTGTTTATGATGTGTAGAAAATGCATTATTGCTAGTTCAAAATCTCTGTCCTGTGTGTGATAATCAGGTTGTTTCCCTCATGTTGATAAATCATTCTGATGAATAAATACGTGAGGTGGGAGGAGGCCTAAAATACTGCTATTAAAAGAAAAGGAATTGGCTATACCTATTTAAACTAATCAGTGTTTCTGATTGTGAGAGGATTTCAATAAGCTGTGTGAGAACCTTCCTCCTAATCCTAGGGCAGCTTAATTTCTTGAAGAACCATTGCTGGTGATGCTTTTTTTAATACCTTGTAAGGTTCACTATCCCCTATATATTAAATTTTCTGTGTGTCCACTTGTTACTTTATTTAACTTTCTAGGACTATGAGCCTGTTGATCTCAGATTTCCTGGACCCTACTGTGACAGAAAATTTTCTGTCTCAAGTGGCAGTCCTGTGATCAGATCTAGTTTTAAGCACAAAGATAAAAGGGTTGAGCACAGGGTTACACAGCACAATTCGTATTAAAAGAGTACTACAAGCAAGACAGTGCACAAAATACTACACTGAAAATATCTCATTGTTTTTATCTGAGGTGAAAGAGAGGTGTCCCTTCCCTGGATCTAGCTGTCCCAACTAAAGATTTTAGTTCTTACTTAGTGGAGTTTAGCTGCTGAAAAGGCTTTTCTTAAAGCTGGCAAATCTAGTACCAGTAAACTCATTTGGTAAGTGGGGCTGGTGACTGCAGTGAAAGAGGCTAATCTTTGCCTGCAGGTGCTTGGGGAACACTTTCACAGAAGGATCAGCTGATTGACCCTGAAGGGCAACAGTTGAAATTGGTGGTGGCATGGAAGAGCTGGAACTGGTAAGGTCTGAAGGTGTTTATTTGGTGCAACATTGGGGAACTAGCTGGCTTGCACCAGACAAACTAGCTCCGAAGTTCTCAGTGAAAAGCCACATAATTTATACAGTTTTCATGAGAGGTTACAACATCTTTACATACATATACATTTGATTTTGACATCTAATTATCATATTCATAATGGGCAGAGTTTAGGCGGAGTCTTCTAGAATCGTCTTTTGACAAGACTTTTGGGTGGTCGTTTCTGTTCTTCAGCCTCACTTTGGGGGTCGTTCGCTCTTCTTCCTCTCTTGAACTTTTCAACTTTTTCTGTTCATAGACCTAGTTTTCTGGGGCTTGCAAAACTTATTGACTCATGGCCTTCTTATCTCCTTCAGATGTCCACCTTACCTTTATTTATGACTGCTAAGTTGCTTAAAGTACATTCCTACTATCTCTTACTTCAGCAGAGCAGATCAAGCTATCTCTGTTATATTCCAACATAAGCAGAACCCCTACCAGAGCATGGTGCCAACTCTATCCTAGTTAATCCTTTAAAACCTTGCTCTGTTTCAGCACCACAGCTGGATGCAGAAGATGACATTTCATGGCTTGCTTTTTCTCATTCTAATATGTAGTGCCTCTTTTTGACTGTACTGTAACTTTCTTTTATTTCAGATGCCTTCAGTGTTTGACAAAGAACCTTTCCAGATATGCTGCAGATATTAAGTCACTGCCACCCAACATAAAGGATAAACTGATTAAATTAATGAGTAGGCAAGGGCAAATAACTGATTCAAATATCAGTGAGGTAAGAACCTATTCAAAACTATACTGTCTGTGATAGTTAATACACAAGGATGAGCTGGACTAAAACTGTTTACATGAGATAAATTGAAAGCCTTCTTACTCTGTTCATGTCCTTACAGTTTTATTTCTTAAACTTCATGATGTTAATAGTCCTGTATTAGTAGTAATAAGATTATGTTTTAGTAAAAAGTAAATTAAAAATGTTCTTCCTTCAGTGATAATTGACTTTTGTGTAATCAGGTGACATATAGTATCCCTTCTCAGTATGGGAAAAGTAACCTGTGTTGCACACCAGTCTCTGTTCCTGAATGCAGTATGTTTCAAGAAGCTTGTGCATAATTTAGTAATAAAAGGATTTCAGGAACTTGTTAGAATTCTGTTAGGTTCTATTGACGTTAAGCACACGATCCCCATATAATTTATTTAAATTTTGATTATTTGAAATATGATGATGCTAAGGCTAGAAATTGATAGTTCAGATTCTCTTGTCCTTTCTGCTTACTGATGTATGCCAGTGTTTCAAAATGAAACCAGTTAATGACTTTCCTTCAGCTGTAAATTCAGGGGCACATCTGTTTCCTATCTATCTACTGTTATCTTACTCAGCCTCAAAGGGAGGCGTGAGAATTGAGGAAAGCTAAAATTTGGCGTTGGTGAAGTAGAGAATGAATGACTCCCTGTTCATTCCTGCTTTGACCTGTAATTCAGAAAAGGCAATTATTATCAGTTTCTCAGGGTCAGGATAGTGAAGCCAAGACTAGAGGCAGAAGCAGAATTACTGTGGAAAACATACAAACAAAAAATTTTATCTTTATAATGTACCATTTTTTGATACTCTGCCTTTTGCTTCTCATTTAGACTTCCATGGATCTAATAGTTCTTTTTCCTCATAAAAATTCTCATGTGGCTTCAAAATCAGCAGTTTGGTGTCTTTTGTTGTGTCTTAGACAATTCAGAACTGTGAAAGGAAGCCAACAGTCAAGGAAAGCATCTTGGAAAAATGTTGATGATCACTTTGGCTTTAAGCTGTATTTGGCTGCTTTATTCCTTAGATATGAATTCAGAAATATGAGTGAAATAAGAACTGAATGTTATCTTGTGAAAACTGCTCACAAGTGTCTTGTGGAGTATGTTGGCAGTTTTATGCCATAAAGACACACATAAAGGCTTATAGCATTTGGGGAGGAAAAGCTGTCAAAGCTGTCTGAGGTCTGCCATTCATTTTGCTGAAAGGTTGCAGTTGGAATCTGCTAGAAGTTTTGGTTTATTTGACCTTTTTAGTAAATATTTTAGCATCTTATATTTGTGAAACAGAAAACCAGTATTCCTTGTAATATCTTTATGGTACTGTGTTATAGTGAACCTGAGGAAGGAATAGACCTTTAACAAGCCTGTCAGCTATGCGGTTATCTTTGCTTGTGTGTGAAAATTTATGCTTTTGTCCTTGGAAGTTAAGGAAGGGAATAACAAGCTGAAGGGAGTATATGGCTGTCACTACTAAAATCTGAGGCCTTCCATTGCTTTGGGTCTAACTTTTCATAAATGTCCTCTTGGGGAAGATTTCAGAAAAACTCCATCCTATGGTCTTGTGAGAGTAAAAGAGCCTATTTAATGAGGATTTGGTACCTCCTCATGGTATGATAATGAGATTGGTTGTTTATGAGCAAAAGAGTGTGTCTGTAGCTGAGAAAAATACTCTGGGATAGATCTTTCAAATATCACTGTTATCTGTTCAGGAGATTTAAGTTCTGATGATAATCAGTGTTTTCTTGCACTGCAGATTTCTGCCACCAAAGTTGTGCTAGTAAATATGAGGATATTGTCCCTGGCAAACATATCTGTGCTGGTAGAAGCACTACTGGTAGCAACTGTACCATCAAGACATTATTTTCACTGTTTAAGTATCAGTATTAATGTGTTCTTACTCTGTATGTCACAGAAGTTGACCATTCATGCTGTAGGACATGAACTATTGCAGCAAATAGACCATATTTTCCCTGGAGCTTTTAGTTCCTAGGACTGCTAACCCCATCCTCTAGTAAAAAGTTCTCTGTGATGTCTTGTATTACAAGTTTTTTAGATTAAAATGTGCATGTTTGATGGCATAGCAGAGTGTGACTGCAATGGTAGGTTTTCATTACAGGTACTGCACCCTGCTGTCGAGTCTCTAGACCTCCGAGACTGTGATATTTCCGATAATGCTTTACTGCAGCTTTATAACTGCAAACAGCTGAAAAAAATCAACTTGAATTCTTGCAAGGAAAACAGATTTGGAATCACTTCAGAAGGTATGTTATCTGTGCACAGATAACTGGGATCTTATTTCTAATTTGTTTTTCTTGTTAGATTGGAGTGAATTGCAAAAAATATCCAGGGTAAATATTGCTTTAGAAAATCCCCAATGCCACAGCAATGCTAATTAAAAGTCTCTTCTTTGGTGTAAATTACAGGCCTAGAGCACTGCTAATCTTATGAGAGAGCTATCAGGTTACTCTCATGCTAAGTTTCTGGTTTAACCATGCTATGTGGATCATATTTTCCACTTTATCCTAATTATTCCTTCCTCAAAACTTGTCCCAGAGCCTTTGGACTCAGCATGATGGTCATGTTAAAAAAGGAGTACTCCTTTCCATTGCTCTGTTTACTTTGGCAGGTGTCATAGCACTGGCCTTATCCTGCCCTTACCTGCAAGAAGCGTCTTTTAAAAGGTGCTGTGATATAACTGACAGTGGAATTCTTGCTCTTGCACTCAACTGCCAATTCCTACAAATAGTGAACTTGGGCAGCTGTTCAGGCATCATGGATGCATCTCTGCAGGCACTAGGAGAAAACTGCAAGTTTCTTCACAGTGTGGACTTTTCATCTACTCAGGTAACTGTGGTGGCAATTGGCCAATTGACTGTTGTTTGTTTACTTTTTAGGATTGTCATGATAAAATTGAAAGGGGATCTTTTTAGCTCTATTCTTCACAAGATTTAGGACCACAGTTTACTTCCCATTTCCTCCTCTCAAGGAAAAAGAAAGGTATATTTTGCATCTTGGTAACCAGAAAAATATACATTTTGACATTACAGCAGTAAGATAAAGTTTTGTTAGAATCTACTTAATATTGGAGGGTTGGGGCTTTTTTTTCGGTATCTTTATTTAGTGCATTCATTTTCATCAAGTTATAAAGTCATCCAAAATACTTAATTTAAAGAAAGTGGAATCTTGGACTGATTATTGTCTGCTTTCAGTTAGGACAAACTGACATGAATAATAATAATAATAATATAGGATGTCAAACAGTATAAGCCCCTAGTAAAAGTAAACACTCCATGATTAGTTCTAGTTCAAGAGTGACTGTGCTTTCTGAATGGCTTGTCAGAGTTATGTTACGGAGTCAACACTGAAAGAATGACATTTGAAATGTCAGAAATGGCAGGCAAGGGGATTTAAAAATAGTATTTAGCATGAGAAGAAGGAAATCAGCTGCAAAAGCAATATTCTAACATGCAGTGAGATAATGAGCCAGGGAAAGGATTATTTGCAGGAAGTGTAGTTCAGTTGAGGGTGATGGTGAATAATTATGTTGCGTGTGAGTCCAGTACTGAGCATTTGTAACGAAGTGTCAGAGCTGGAAAACACATATCAGGTTCTTATTTTAGATGATCTTCTTTCAATTTTTCTAGAAGTAGGGTATCAAAGGAATTTTAATATTTTGTTTGGTAGTTTTTATCATTATCATTTAACTCTTACTTCTTCAAACTTAATTACTTCTTTATTTCCTTACCTCTCTCTCCCTTTGTAGGAAATAGCTAAGTTTCCCTGTATGTGTTTGAAATGAGATGAAAGCTGCTTGAGTAACTAATTGTTTCCACATTTTTTTTTACCTTTCTGCAGTGATTACCTTTTTTTTCCAACCCAAGAAACTTCCTTTAGTTCCTTTGAGAACATCTGCAGTCCTGAAAACAGGAGAAAAATTGGTCTAGGTAGAGCAGAAATGCTTTAAACCTTATAAAGGAAAAGGGCTGTGCTCTGACTATAATAGAGTACCCACTGTTAAATGAGACAGGGAAGCTGCAGAAGTAGCAGTTACACAGTTGGAAACATCCCTGTAGAAAGCCAGGGAGGATCACGTGGCAGGAAAATGAAACAGCATTTGAGAGAATGAAAAAAAAAAACCCAAACAGGTCCTTGGATAATTTTCTCTACAAGCTTAGTTGGGAAGAAAATACTGTAATGTTAAGTGTATTCATTGATTGCAGGGAGGGAATAAATTAATATAATTTTCCCACCCAAATAGCTGTGTTGGAAAAAAATGAGCTTTAATCCATTGTGTTTTTTTCCAGGTAACAGATGATGGCGTTGTAGCACTAGTGAGTGGAACATGTTCAAAGAATTTAAAGGTAATTTACTTAACCTAGTAACAAGTGGATGAACAAAAACAAATACCTGCATTTTAAAATTATTGTTATCAGCGTTACTTCTGAGGGATGGTTTTTACTGACAGGCTTTTTTTGCCTTTGTTTATGTATACACTTGCCGTGATCTTGATTGTGAACTGTATATTTTCTGTATCTCTGTAGCAGTGCCCCAGACCAGTGTTTTTTGATAACCTCAGTCTTTTCAAAATGTTTCCTTCTGTTGACTATAACGATCTTATTTTAACTGACAGTGTTGGAGAGATCTATATAATAAATGCAAATGAATGCTTAACTTTTACTCTTGATTTCTTTGGAGTTATTTCTTTATTCTGTTGAACATAGAGGCAGAATTTGTAATGTGGAAAACTTCACGAGTTGAAGAAATCAATTAGCACCTCTGCATGGGTAAATGTAACTCTCACAGTCTCTGCAGTTTTAATAAGGCAAAATTTAACAGTTTTGTGTGGGATGACAATTTAAAAAAAAGTCGTGTTCTCTCAGCATAAACTTCTAAAACAGTTTCTGTTTTACTAGCAGTAAGAAAAAGAAATCTAGTAGAGAATATGAAATTATTTGCTGCAATCTCTTCTTCTGTGTAACTCTTTTCCTTGTCTCTGTCACAGTCTTCATAACCTCTGTTTCATATCATCAAAGTGCAGATATATAGTCAGTGGTGTAATGTCAGGTAGACAGTGAAAAAAGAAGAGCCTTAAAATTCTCAAATTGTAACAAGCAGGTAGATTTATAAATACTTTTACTTCATTCAGAGGCAGATTCCACATTTCACTTAATAAAACAAACTGAAAATTATACATATATCAGCTCTTGTGTATATTGCTTCTCTGAGTACAGATCTTGTTTTATGTGTCATCATTCTGTACAAAGTTGCAATTATTACAAAAGGTCTCTTTCATTTCTCTGCTCTTTAAAGATCCTTAGAGTTTTTTATTGGAAAGTCTTTTTCCAATTTATTTTTTTTTATTTTTACCCTGAATTCCCAAAGTATGTTTTACCAAGATTTTCACTAGATTTGATGGTTTCTTTTCTGCATTTCTTCTTTTATGTTATATTTAGTGATATATAAGGCAATTCAGAAGAGGAAAAAAGGTTGGTAATAATCTGTAAATTTATTGTGATTTTCTTTTTTTAGCACATACAAGAGGTAATAGTTATACAGCTCCAGAGAAAGGTTTTAGTCTAGTCTTGAAGAAGCTTTTAGACTTCTTTTAGGAACCATGTAGATAGATATTAGAAACTTCAGCAGAGACTCATGAATCCTGCCTGTTTTAGAAAACACCAGAATTCAGTTTGGGTCCTGAACAACAAGCTGCTAGGAGAGCATGTGTCATGGGAAAAGTGATGGGACTCAAACACCATGGAATGTCATTGAAGAGTTTTCTCAGTTGTCTTGAATGATATGTGCATATTGGGAAAACTCCGGTTTAAGTTTTCAGTTTTGACTCCTCATAGAAAAGCTGTTTTGTTTTTCCTGAGGGTATTTTCTTGGTCTGTGTAAGACCACATGCAGGGTCAGTGCACAGAGGAGTGTGGTGGGGATCTCTGAAACTGGTTGGGCAAAGGAAAGCTCTGCCTCTAAAACTATGGGTGCTCTGACAGGCTTTTGTTGCTGCTATTTTCATACCAGGAGATCCACATGGAGCGCTGTGTGAACCTGACCGACGTCGCCGTGGAAGCCGTCCTTAATTGTTGTCCGAAGATACACATTTTTCTGTTCCATGGATGCCCACTGATAACAGGTAGGTCAAATCATGCAGGGAGTGAGAAGAGTAATTTCTTGCTGATAGTACCTTCTTGCTCTCTGGAAGAGCACACTATACGTTATAAATAATCCCAAACAAATAATAACTTAGTAGATAAAATAATCATATGCTGAGATTTTTCAAAGCAGGATGAGAGTTTTGCTTTGAAATATGGCAACCTTCAGAGAGGGATTTTTTTGTTGTTGTTTTGAAAATTAGATTTTTTTTTTGTGTCCCTTTTTTCTCCCTTCAGCATGCTGATGAAGATCCAAAGACTTCAGAAAAATGTTAGCATCTTAAATCCCTACTCTATTCCAAAAGGATGGAACAGCACCCATTCAAGAAACAGTGGAACCGGAGTAGGATAGCCCATGGGTTTTTTAAGTCCTGTTGGTTGGTGATGCTTTATAGTTAGGTGATTGAAGAAAGAACCAAGTTGTTTTGGATTACTACAGGTGTATCTGAAGTGTGATATTGTAACAGCAAAATAAGCATAAATGCGGGTGTATAATTGAATTACTTTGCTTATTTCTGAACACCACCTGTATATGTTCTGAATCAATAACAAGAACTTCCTTTGTTCTTTTGCAGATCGTTCTCGAGATGTTTTAGAGGAGCTCATCATATCAAACAAAATCAAGCAAGTCACGTGGACTGTTTACTGATTATTTATCCTGTACGAATGAGTGTCAAGTTTACAGATAGGAGAGCCCTTTCAGCAAGCAAGCACCTTGGAGAACCAGCTGGTGACTTTTGTACCACCAGATTGTGTCCCTCCTGGTTCCCACTGGAGGTCTCTGTTGCTATTCCAGTCCTTGCCTGTGTGTCTGGGCTTCCCCATTGTCTCTGCTTGGAGCCCTGTCTGTCTTTGCATCGCTGATGATACTTCATTAAGAGGAAAGTTAACTATAACACTACACTGAGCCATAGCTCAGCCTCCTCGAAGTATCAGGCTTGGCTGCTCCTTGGCATCCTTTAGCAACTTAGCTACATGTACAGACCCACTTTGAGTAACTCTGAGTTTGTAGGCTGGGAAGGTACTTGCAACTAAAAGTACCAAGCCCAAACACATCATTGACACTCACACAGAAGTGTCTGTAAAGTTGGGAGTTATATCTGACAAAAGTCATCAGACAGACAGGTGAATGGAGGTGGCATTAAGAGCAATACAAATGTATTTTTAGTAGTAACAAACAATCTCCTTTCACCATGTACCTCTGCTAGATCTGGAATGAAAAATGTAGGTACCTTTCTTCTGATGTTACTGATGCTGCAGATTTCTGGTTTTATTTACCATCAAATACTTGCTGGATTTTTACATATCCAAAGCTACAGTCTGTAAATGTGTGAACATAAACTTGCTTTGGAATTGTTATGGTGACTTTACAAATTTCAGAGTAGTAGCTATGACCAGTAAAAGAGTTTTGTATATGGGCAAATATTTAATTTGCCCTGGCTTTTGCCTATGTTTCTACATGAAAATCCTTTTAGGGAACAAAACATTGGTACTCATAAGCATAGCTGTGAGTGAAATAGGACCAAATTTTGTGTCTGAGTATATAAATCTCAGGATGGTAGAGTTCAGTAGAGTATGTGTTCTGCTGTATGCGGTTTATTATATATCCAGGGCCACCCAGAAGCTGAAAATAACAATAAATGTATTGTTTAATTATAGTCATATTAAAGAAAAAATTTTTGAATTGTAGAATGAGTTTATTACATAATGGAACAGTGGTCTCATCACAGTTATAAGTCATGTTCATTGGCTGTCTTGAACCAGCATAATCTCTCGTGAGAATTCTATGATTTCTGCATTAAACTTCTTAAAATGCTAGCAATTTTAGCATTGTACAGGGCATGGAGCACACTAAGTTGATACTCTGTATGTGGAAGTAGAAGGGTTTAGCTAGGGTGGTCTTACATGAATCTGAGGATATTTGGAAACTTGTGAGTTAAGGCAACTATAATGAATATGTTTACTTTACAATTTAACACCTGTCATAGCCACACTTATTTTGAGTGTTGCAGAAATAAACCAGTCTTCTACTAATCTATTCAAAGTTCAAGTCAAATTGCATGGAAGATACATGTTGCAGCCAATATTAAAGGATATTATGATGTCCGACAAGGATCTCGTTCTTGTGTTGATTATATGGTTCTTGAAAGAGCAAATCTATTTAGAAAAGTTGTTCAAGTGTAACTAAAAGCATAATTTTCCAACTCCAGAGCCTAAATCCCTTACTCTTGTTGCATGCAGTACCATGGCTCAGCCCAGTGATGAGTGTGTTCCTGTGATCCCTGTAGGTACAGCTGCACCAGCACAAACCATTCTTGCAAACAGGAGTTGATTTTGCTGCATTATCCACAAGCATCTGAAAGCTGTAACTGCAGCAGATCCTTGCAGTGGATAGATTAATAACCTGATCTACCAAGTTTTATTCCTTTTTTTGGGCTAAGTTTATTTTTATGCCCTGTGTAGTCCCTGGTATCAATCAGGGCCCATCATTCCTTTAAACTCTTGGACGTGAGTTGGCAATAAATTTGTTTTTAATATTAATTTATTTTTGATATTGATCCATCTAGCTGATTAAGCAGCAGCAATGAGAGGCTCGGTAATTCTGTCCAATGGGTAAAGCATTCCTGGTTGCCACAAAAAGACTAAGTAGAATTGAAAATTAACTGAAGAAGGGAGGAGCCTTGGGAGGTTTCAAGTATAACTTCCTGCCCAAAGTAGGGCCAGCTCAAAGCTCAGACCAGCTTAGTCCACGCTTTATCCAGCCAAGTCTTGAAAAACTGAAGATACAGAGCCTTCACAACCTTTTGAGGCAACTTGTTCCACTGCTTGACTGTATTAATGCTGGAAATTTTTTTCCTTATGTCCTGTTTGACCCTATTTTGTGTCCACACCCTTTCTCTCGCTGGTAGAGCCTGGCTGTCATCCTGATGGCCTCCTCACAGGTGTGGTCAGGCTGCTCAGAGGTTCCTTGAAGCCCTGTCTTTTCCAAGCTGAACAAGCCCAGTTCCCTCACTCTGTTGCTGTCATGTAACAATATATATTACATTACAAGGTGGTGGTCACTAGACTCCCAAGTGCTACATCCAGAAAGAAAGTTACAAATTAAGATTATGTAAAGCAGCGAGAGGTGGAAGACCACCAAAATCTGTAATAGCAAAGGACACTTAAAAAAATTATCTGTGGGACAATACTACTACTAACCTCACTGGCAAAGTTGTCCTTTTCCCCCTTGCTAATGTAACCTTGGATTTGTCATGTTGTCACGTCGAAGGCAAATGCAGCCTATAGTGTGTCCTTAAATGTGCATGTGGATTTACCATCTTCCCCTATAGCCTCTTCTAAATGTGTAACTTTGTATCCTCACCTTGTGCTTAAAAAATCTGTACAACAGGGCAACAAGTTAGCACTGCATTTTTAGGTTTGAAAGTTCAATGTAAGTCACTTTAAATCCTTCCCCAGTAGAACTTTTACATGTTTATTACTTGCATAACTCTACTGGAGTATTTTTTGATTCAGGTTAAATCACAGTAATTTTCAACAAATGTTGGCAAGCACTGGGTAAAGAGAAGAACATCACGTATGTGCTTACCACTTCCTATTTCTGTATTGCTTGGATATTGTTACTGTTGCAAAATGTTGGGTGAGCACTGCAGAATATTCCTATATTGTTCAGATGATTAAAGTTTGTAAAACATCTGTTTGGATAGTTCTGGAAACTGTTAAATTACATAACCATGTACATCTGACTGTGCTCCTAAGCCTCCTGCTTCATAAATACCATGGTTTTCTGAGCAATTACCACATACTTGTTCACATTTATAAGCTTCTACCACATCACCTGGTATTTGAATAGTTGTAGGTGCATTGTGTTGGTTGTGCAGGTATTAGTTCCCCATCAATGGTTGTTCAATAGTTGACTGCTAAAGGTGACAGTTCTTGCAAGACTGCTCTGAAAACAGTGGTGGTTTCTTCCAATGGCTGGAGTTACAGCCTCTTACCTGTGGAACTGCAGACAGTTCTTTCTTGACAGATGTAACTGCGACTAATTCTGGAGCTTGTTGTCCAGCATCTCCTCAAGAGAAGAGCAAAATAATTATATCAGACCTTTATTCCCTGTTTTTATTTAGTTACCTTCTGTTTGTCACACAAGGAAAGATTTCTTCATCCCTCAGCAGCTTCCCAAGGTGATAGTTTGCCTGGTTTACCCTTGCAAAGTTCAGGTATGTAGGTAATTTGACCCTACTCTCTAGATGATCGAGTTACCCCATAGCTAGTACTATTTAGGCACTTTCCACTTACTAAAAACTTCTACACTGGCTACCAGTCAAGAAGCTATTTTAGGTTTGTGTGCAACTCCTACATAATCACTCAGGCAGTTTCAAGGAAGAGTAAACTTTTATTATAGAGGGAAAAAGGGAGATTCAAATTAGTCACTCTGACATTCAGAAGAGATACCCAGAAAAGGAGCAAGGCACTTTAAGTTGAGCATGTTAAGAGCTATTAATCTCTTATGAATTAGAATTTTATGAAGGACACTGACAATTTCTCTATAAATAAGCTGTAAAAGTCTGTGAAAGCAGTGCAGAAAGTCTGTCAGCCATGGCCCTCTCCCCACAGCAGTGTAGTGGACATCCAAAACATTTCACAGTACTGTTAGAGAGCAAGACACAAATATACATGAAAAACATCAAGCATGCAAACTCTTACGTGTGATTCATCTGTGGGTCTGCACTTCAGTACAGGCCCCTCTGAATACAGTTTGCATGTAGCTTTTACCTCAAATGGAGCAAAAGCCTCAGTGAGTATGACTGAAATCAGTTCAGTGAAGGTACAGGAATCTGCTTTACATCAACAAATAATGTACTGTGTTTAATTCCCATTTTCTTTTTACATACTCGCTAAAAAGCCAACCAAGCAAGACAAAATTCCTTACAAAGCCAACTTCAACAGTCTTCTGAGCCATTTGAGGGCTGATAACTCCAGACAATACTTGATGTTAATCCATAGTTTTCTTGTCTAGTGTACTCAGGAAGTGAATATTCTATAACTTTGTGCAAATGACTGTGAATGCTGTGGCTTAAAAACTGATGCCTGCCAGGGTCACCAATCAGCACTTCAGTTTGCTGTATCCTGATGCACTTCCTCAGCCAGTGATGCAGACCATCAGCAAGTTGTTCATCATAAAACATATCTCCTAAAACAATGAGGTCCCAGTTGCCAGCCTCTGAATTAATGATGTTCTTAATGGTGATGGGGAAGGGATTCAGGTGGTTCAGTTCACAGTTCAGGATCATTGCCACTCCTGCAACTGAAGAAAAGTCAAAGCAAAATGAAAGTTACATTTTAGGATTCTGCCACTCAGCCCCCTTACAATTTCCTTGACAGGTTTCAATTTCATCTCTTAAATATTTTTGTTTATCCTATCTAGGGACTTCCACAGTTTTCATGATGGGTTAAAATCTGGCATAGAGTGATGAAATTTTATTCCCATTACACCATGACACAGGGAAGAACTATTTCTGGAATGGATACCAGTGGAAAACAATCATGGAATTGAATTAGGATATCTTACTGCCTAAATCTATGGATATACTTCTTCCCTAAACAGTGAGTAATTACTTTATGAATAAACTGAATTCATAAGTGAATTATGGAAAAGTCTGGAGGGAAAAGGCAAAATCTAGGTCCTAACATCAAAGTACAGGAAAATGCTACAGTCCTACAGAGAAGGCAACTTGCTGTTTGCACTTGGAGTTCTCTTCCAAAGCAGCCATGATGGTGTATAGGCAACACTTGACAGAAACTTTGCTGTTTGTTCATTCTAAGGTGTTATAGAGATACACTCATCCAAGAGAGGCTGGTACAACCCAGCTTCTAATACTGGCAAAATCCATTCCTCTTTTTAGCATTCTTAGAACTCTGTTTGGAACTTGAATTTCTCCCAAATGGAGTAAAGAAAAGTCCTTGTTAAAGGTGCTTTAATAAGTATCTTTACATAGAGATGAAAAGAAAAAAGCGCTTACTAGGGTCGATGTCATTAGCGAGGACTTGGGATGCCCCACTCATCACAGCAGCTATTGCTGTTGCTCCACATCCACTTCCAAGATCCAAAACTGATCGTCCTTTAACAACGCGAGGATTATCTAAAATATACCTGAAAAAGAAAAGCTGTTAAAGCAGTGAACAAGATGATGCAAATGTCTCAAGTTTGTGTTACACTAAGAGTTCTTATACATGTAATGATACCTTAATAACACTATCCCACATGTGCAGCTGGTACATAGCTCCTTATTTGTCTCTGCTGATATGAAAATCAAGAAAACCTTTCTTCTTTACTTGTTCCCCACCCTCCAAATGAAAAGAAATCCAGCCAAGTAAGCAACATTTTATTTTAATCAGCTCCTTCTCTGACAGGTGAGCTGCTCTGTTAAATAAACACAAACTGCAAGGTGACTACAATGAATCAGAATATATCAGAAATAGGAAAGTAAGGATCTGTAGAAATTAAAAACAATCTGCCTGAAGAAACATGATGTATTCATAGTGAATATTGTGCCTACCCATCGCCCTGAAGTGCTGCTTATGCAACTGCTTGGAAGAAGAGGAATTTCTCCTCTTTCTTTTCCTGAGCCATGCAGACACAGATGCAAATACTTGAAGACTGCTTAATGTTGTTCCCGAGTAGCACCAAGAAAAAGAATAGAACTGTGGTGAGCAGAAGGAGTATCTTCATCTAATTGCTGACACATGCCAAGAGGAATCCTGTAAAACCTCTAGGCTGGAAGTGGGGAACTGACAGAAGGCAAGCAGCAGTTATTGTTAAACACTGAATCATATTACAGCCATTAGAGAAGATTCAGAACTTTAACAACTGCCTTGACATTCAATTGGCTGTGAAGGGAAGGCCCTCAGTGTCAGGGAAAAGAGCCCTGGGTGAAATAAATTACTGCAAAGCTACCATAAATTTACTACTAATTTCCATAACTTCTGTTAAAGTAGAAACTGGAAAGGATACTACATTTGTGTTATATTCTGGCAGGGAGAGCAATGGCTGAGTCTTCACATGGGGCTACTGGTAAGCACAGCTTTTGCAGGGGTATTCCAATGCAGAGAACTGTAATGGAAATGTTAGGACTGGTGTAAATAGGGAATGGATGAATGGAAATGTCTGGGCCTGGTAGCACCAGCAGGAATGGCACAAAGAGGTCTAATAAGAGTGTTGAGTGTTGACACTTGTGTAGAGGCTCAGCAGCTCAGCTGTTTGGCAATATTCCACTGAGGACATCGCTCACAGAATCACAGAATATGCTGAGTTGGAAGGGACCCACAAGGATCATTGAGTCCATACAGCCCTACACAGGATCATCCCCAAGAGCCACACCATGTGCCCAAAAGTATCGTCCAAACACTTTCTTGAACGCTGTCAGGCTTGGTGCTGTGACCACTTCCCTGGGGAATCCAACCACCCTCTGGATGATGAATGTCTAATATCCAACCTTAACCTCCCCTGACACAATTTCAGGCCATTCCCTCGGGTCCTGTCACTGAGGACAGCCCCTAGTTTACCAACAGGGCTTGGTTTACCAACCGAGGGTGGAAGACTGGGGTGAGGTCTCCACAGAAGTGCTCTGTTTCTCCTATTTAGTGGCTCTGCTTGGATTTGCTATGACTTTCCACTAGTAATTTGTATAGACCATGATCTTGCCTAATATGCTGCAAATGCCTTGTTTCCATCTGAGTGGTTATTGAGTTACTGCTGATGACTGTAGTGACTGAGGACAGCTGGACCCGGCTGTATCCCCTGGCACGCACACAGTGCATCGAGCTGCTGTTGGAGACTGCTGTCTGCCCTGCTAGGCAAACGAGGTATCTTAGGTTACACCAAGAGGAGTAGCTTGAAATAGGAGACTCCTGATGTTGTGGAAATGCCAACAATGCCTGTGTTGTGGAAAGAAGCACAGTTATGGAAGCAGCCTATGTTGTCATGCTCCCTTTTTACCTTCCAAATTATGCAGCTAATTTCTGACATTCCTTATACGTCAAACAAGTGCTTAAACAGTAAGACAGTAAAGTAGTGAACTGCCAGATAATTACTGCTACCCAAATATATGGGCATATGTATCATATGATAACAAAATATAGAGATTAATTTATCTAATTTATTTACCCAGTATTCAGGAGCATTGTAGTTAATCTGCGTGGCTAAGCAACTCACAATTTAACAGTAAGGCTCATCTTTTCCCTGGACAAAAACACCTTCTTATTTATGCTTTCTCGCAGAAAAACAGTAGAGCCTCAATTCAGATCCTTCCCTTTCATCTCTGTGGGGATTGTCTGACAGCTTGCTCTTGGCTGTAAAAATTAAGAACTTTTTCTGCTGTTCAAAGTGAGAGATTTGATTTTATAGAATAAAAGAACTCTAACTAATTCCTGAGAATCAGGAACATTAAAGACATTTTGACAGTCAGTAGCCAAAACCAAAATGTGGCTTCTGATGTGACTAAAGGACACCCACAGTAAGGCTTGACAATAAGGCTGCTGAAATCCTAGTTGAGGAGAGTGATTCAGGCTAACCAGCACTCCAAGTGCAGCAGCATAAACCTACTTTTCTCACCAGACCATATGCACATCCACACTCACATCTGTCTCCTATAAAAAACCCCCACGCGTTATGACAAAATACAATCCTCCTGTTTGGAGCAATTACGAGTGACAGAATTAACATTTCACTAGGTTGTGATGGCAA